GGTTCCTCGTTTCCATCGTGGTGAATCAAACCCGAGTGGGAATTTAGTTCATTGTATTTGCTGAGGCTGAAAGAGAAAAAAACGGGAAACAATGCTCCAGGTTAGGTACCCTGGGTGTGTGCGACAGGGGGAATAGCCACGGAAAGCTGGGGGCCGGGGTGCTGTGATTGCTGATAGTTTCTATGTTGGGGGGATAGACCCTTCAGTTTTGGGGTGGATGTGCTGATAATCTGTGAAGGTGAGGAAAGCTGTAGCAGCGTACAATATGGGTGGGTTTATGGAGGCAAATAAAGTGGGTGCTGGCAGTGCGAGACCAGCAAAAGAGTTATTTTCCGTGGAACTGCCACAAAAGTTCTGGGAAACGTAAGATTGGAATTTCATTTACATCGAAAGGCAAGATGCAGAGCTGTAACTGTTAGATTACTCCCCTTGTGAAACAGAGCAGTTGAGTTTGACAGAAGAGAAAGTAGGAGCCCGCCACAAGAAAGCAGGGGTCAAAAAATTCTCTGTAGAAGAGTTTCCAGCTGCTTTACACTCATCTTCCCACTATGCTCTGCTAAACCTCCTGCCAAGAACAACTGGTGAGCCGCAAGACCAAGATTATCCACTCTTTGGTCATGGTTGAAAGCCAACTACAAGGTTTTAATTTTGATGCCACAGGTCTCTTGTGACAGTTTTGTTGTTGCACTTCTATTCCCTGGGATTACAGTGTGGTAAGATTATCCTTATCGACAAATGATGCTTCAGCAAGAGCTCGGGATCTGAGTGACCCGTAGTACAGGAGGCTTTTGTTGGAAGGCTTTTGTTGTCTTCCCTTTAAGTAGGGAGACATTAGTTCTGTCTCCCTCTGACATCACCTGTAATTTTACATTGTAGATACAGCCATTACTCTGGAATTCGATATGCTTTATAGGTGGAGCCCAAACAAACATCTTGCATGTCAACACAGATGTTGTTCTCTAGAAGAACAATGAAATCACTCAGAAAAGTAACATGAGATGTGAAAAATACAATTTAAAAAATGTTTGTTCACAAAACACTATACTCATTTGTTAACCTTTTGTGAGATGTTCAGTATTGAGGAACATGGGAGCTGCTCTTGGCTCAGGTTGGATAAAAGCAGAAGAGAAATTTCTCTCTTAAATTTTGAGACTTGGGGCAAACCAGAGCAGTTATGAGTAAACATGTTGCAGTAACAGTCTTGCATTCTATTCCAGTGCATAATCAAACAGGTCTTTAGTAATAGGCTTGCGATAGGCACTCAATTATGTAATAATTTCCTATATGGTGTTTAATAGAAGGAATGCTTCAAAATTGTGTTTGTGGTCTCAGCAAGGGGCTGGTGAGAAAGAGCCAGTAGAACATGGCAAAAATAGAAGTTCTGTCCTGTTTTAGTCCTTTGATGTTATACTGGCAGTACAGAGGGATGCATTTACCATGTTGGACTCACATCATATGGTCCAAAAACCAGGGTCAGGGTTCAGTGACGAGTTCATTGCTTCATTTTGAAATGTTGGAGGTAGTGTACAATTGAACTGTGGGAGCAGGAACTGAAACCTGGTTGAGCACCTTACTTACCAGAAAAAACAATGCTGCTTCTAGTTTTTTCTCAGTCAGTCAATCATTTATTCTTTCTCCACTCTGGCTTGGATTCAACTGGAATCATGTTGAATTAGCTTGTATCCCACCCACCCAGCTAGCTGGCATGAGGTGGACTCACTCCATGTGTACCCAGCTACTTTCACGTGTCCTCAGCCAAATCTGTACTGTTAGTACCTGTTTTGTAGGTTTAAAAAAATACTTTTAGACATTTATGTATTTTAACTTATTTCTGATTTTTTTTAAGCGTCTACATTGAACTTAAAATCAGAAACAAATAAGTTACTATCTTCATTTGTACTGTGGTCGGTGAGCAAATAAGATTAAATATAGTGGTCTTCCAGCCAGCAAATAATTTTCTGTGATATAAAAATTAGGATGGAGGAAGAGGAATCCCTGGGATGTTACATTGTTTACATTGATCAATGTAAACACCCTATTAATATTAGGAGAAAATGCTGAATAGTGTAGGACATAGACTCAGTTCTCATTTGATGGGGATTCCACCACTGATGGATACTTTTTGTCATGTCAGTTGATGACAACACTCATTTAATTTGTGCTCCACTATAAAAAGCTTTATTTTTTAATCAAAATGTCAATTAGCATTGGTAATATACTTTCATAATCCCTGTAGGCCAACTTAAGTTTGGGCTGTTCCCAAGAGTGGTTTTGCTTGTGCCAGCATTTTCAGAGTCACCCTGTTAGCAGGGAGCCAGCTGATCCTGTTGGAGACCAGGCTGGTGGTGAGAACATAGGGTGAGGGGCTGGTGGAAGGGCGAGTTCCATGTAGCAGCTCGTGTGTGGCTTAAAGTGACTCTTTGACAAAAGCCCCTAGTAAAACTGTATGTGCATGACGCTTGCACAAGCTATTAAACCTCTAATTTCCTCGAAGAGTGGAGGTGCACTTGTTTACAAGGTCCGTTTCCCACAAAATTACGATGAGTGGCGTCAGTTACCTTGTTCACGTACCAGCTTTTCAGTAATCTTGCCAGTGATTTTTCTGGCTGCTGAGTCTGCAGTTACTTGTGTTTGGGGACTTTGGAATAATCTTAAATCTCGTCCAGTCCTCTGGATTTTCCCTAGTCTTTCAAGAGGTACTAAAAATGAATATCAGGAGGCCAGAGGGAATTACAAGTGGTTTTTAAAAGAGTGTTAGGGACAAGAAGATACCTGGACTTGTTAAACTTAAAATGTTGCTAGATTATACCATCTCTTGATCACCAGGTTCCTGTCAGTGATCAATATATCCAAATTAATCCCCATATCATATAGGGGTTATTACTGGTACCTTTACTATGGGTACGGACATTTTATCTGCAATTTTAAGCCAGTTTGGCTGCTGGCTGTAGGAGTCTGTGGTCCCAGTCTGAAACCCCCATAACGATACAGATTCCACTCGCTTCCTTCACCCTCCGTTGCAGGCTGAATGAGTTATTCTACGTACTGCTCAGTATTTCTGATTGAGTAGCCCGAGGCAAGCCCTTAACACAGCCTTCTCCTGGGCTCTGTCAGCACAGCGTGCTTTGCAGGCATTGAGCATTTGTAGTCCTGGCTCTTATCAGCAACTTTAACCGATTAATAACTTCTTTACTATAGAGTAGCACCACACCACCAGCTTTATCCCACTTAAACACCTTCTAAGCAGAGATTTTAATATCTGAATCATGCAGACTATTCTTTTTACTTCTTTCATGTTATTGATAAAATCTCTTTTTAGTGACAATTTCCAGATCTTCCTATATTGTAGTGAGGCACCAGTCATCAGGCTATAAACAATTCTATATTAATTCTTGTGACGTTCTTCATCACATTGGTTTTGTTTGTTTGTTATAATACAGTACTTGCTTCCTTTGAGCTCCTGGTTTACTCTCCTTCCAGATTGTGCTCTGCCTATGAAACTGTCTTTATCTCAGCCCGTGAGTTTTTGCAGTTTGACCCTTGCAATTCTCTCCCCCATCCCACTGCAGGGGGGGAGTGAGCGAGTGGCTGTGTGGTCTTCAGCTACCTACAAGGGTTAAACCATGACAGTCCTTTTTGGTGCCCAACATGGAGTTCGAAGGGTTTGAGATAAGGACAGCTTTGATAGGAGTGTGCAAGACCAAATTTACAGCTGTTACAGCTACTCGTCGGCAGGCCTTGCCATGGGGCTTGCTTGCTTTACTGCATGTTAGAGTTTAGTGCTTGTTTGTGGCTGCTCTTCGCTTTTGCTATTTGCTGTCATCCATAATTCTGAACGGAGCTGTGCTTTACACCAGTCCACCCCTGCATTCTACCCAGGGCTTCAAAGAAGGAAAACAAAAATGGAGCGGGTAGTGTATAACAAGTTTGCTCATGTAAGTAAAGTACGCAGCTGAAGACATGAAGTCAGAAAAGTCTGGACTTGCTGCACTTTATGATCTTGGCACTGACTGTGGCAATTACGATTTGTTTCTTGTAGGTACTTGTTCTGGTGTTGGAGCAGAAAAATTTAGTAGTAACCTGACTGAGGCAAATAAAAGCTGTATTCAGTTACGGATTACCGAACCTGATTGCAACATTTAAATCTCTGGCTAATGCTTAAGAATCTTAAAATCAGCCAGCGATGCTGGAGTGCTCTTGCATTCCAGAGAAACCGCTACCTGCTGTCAGGCAGGCAGGGTCCTCTGTAGGAACAGACCTGGGAGCTGCATGTGGCAAACACATCACTGGGGCCATGGAGCCTACTTGGCCTTTGCCAGGGCTGGAAAACCTGAAAGCAGGGTGTGTTGGCATGGTTGTGTGGATGAGGGGCGAAGAGCTGCTTTTCCCAGTGCCACCAGCAGTACCCAACACTGTCCCAGGCCCCTCCAGGCCTTGGGAAGGAGCCACGGCTGCCCAGGTTTTGCTTGCGGGCTCTTCAGCTGCTCACCCAGCTGTTTGTTCGCCTCGCTGCCTGTTGCTGCCAAGCTGAGAGGGACCAGAAGCCCAGGCTGGACTCTCTGCAGAGGATCAGGAGAGCCCAGACATCTGGTAGCAGTCTTCTTGGCTATCGCTGCTGAAAATATTTATCACTTGCCCTCTTTTGAGCTTCTAAAAAGTAAACCAAACTTATACAGAGAAATCATCTGATCAGCCATGTTGCATGGATCCTGAGGCTTCCTCGGACTCCAGCCCTCGCCCTTTCAGCCTCTATTATCTGGCTGTATAAAAAAGATCCATAAACACATAGGATAATCTCATCACCCTTTACAGGCAGTACTGGATGGCAATTGCCAGCAGCTATCTTGGCGTGACAGAGACAAAATGTTTGACTCTGTGCTATACCAAAATAGGCATCAGGTATATCTACAGAAAACTTTTGTCCTAAATTGAGAAACTTCCATGATTAGAGAAATTAGAGCTGGTTTTTTGTTGGTTTTTTTTTTCTCCTCCATGCAGGACATGATAGGTAGAAAAGAATCCTGCGCTTCAGGACAGATGCTGATGACCGACCTAAGCTGCCTTGCCTACGTACTGGAAGAATGGACTGTGGTGGAGTACCTGAAGAAATACCTTTTTCATGTGGTCATTGTCTCACTGACAATGAGTGCAATATTAGTTTTTTTTATAGTTCCTTTAACAATCCTCTTTTTCATTTATCTTACTAATATTTTGCTTTTAATATATCAGAGGAATGGTGAGGTAAAAGCAGATCCCCTGAGTGATGTTTGGGATAGTGCAAGGAAAGCTATAGCAAGCTTTTGGGATATATATGCAAGAATATGGCATGGTAAGTATGACATGACTTGTCTGAAGCTTTGAATTACAATAAATGGTAAATACACATAAGTTTTATTTTTTTTTTATTTCTTCCAAATGGATCCAAAGAAATGAAATTTATTATACTTTGTATGGCATCTAACCCAAAATTTTCCACCTCAAAGATTGATTGCAATTATAGAATAAGCAGAATGAAAGGGAGAAATTAGTTTATATAGGGTAAATTTCTCTTAAGTGGATAGGCAGGTGCACTTCCGTGTATATAGTGTCAGAGTGAAGTGCGGTGTTAATGTTAGTTCGAGTAATGTAACTGCAAGAGAGATGTGTGATTTATTATTTACCTTAGTATCTGCTTAAAACTGACTTAATAAATGATCAAAACACAACAACTAGTTGGAAATGCAATCAGTGTATTTTTAGTTGCCGAAAACTACTTTCTGTTACAACAGCTGAAAATAATTTTAAGAGCTGTATGGACAAAGAAATAATTAGATACCACATTTAAGTTTGTACTGTGGCAGAATTTAGAAGTAACCTGATTTTTCAGTTTCATTACATTCAACCTTCAGATACATTCAACACACCCTGCTCCCTAGGAAAATCCTTAGCTGCATGCCAGGCACTTATTCTTCCCACAGATGTAGATTAAGGCTATGAGCAAGACTTAACTTTGCTGCTCTAAGGATGAAGAATAACAGGTTATCTATCTATGTTGCTATCCTTCCTCACGGCTTTTTCCCTTAATCTTTGAACATCCTGCAGTATAAAACTTTCTCCACCTCTTTCTAGGACTCTGCCTGCACCATCCCCATCCTTCTCCTCAAACAGCTCATGACAGAAACTGTAGCAGGGATGGATATGAAGGCAGACAAGGTGGAACAGAGCTCTGAGTTGGCAGAAGCTGTGGCTTTCCCAAGCCTTTGTGTACATTAGTCTCCTAGTCTGGCTCCACCTAAAACCTAAATCAAACATAGGAAGAGCCAGGAGAGGGATTTACAGAAGTCCATGTCTGTGAGGAAATTCCCTTCCACTGGAAGTGAATACATTTAACTGTTGTGGAGAGCACCTCTCTTTGGGATTCTTACAGATTCTGATTTGGACCTAAACATCTTAACCAGAGATGGAAAATCCCAAAGTTTTCATTCTGCCTGACACAGAATGGAGATTCATACTTACATATTTCAGAAGAGCATCCTGACTGCTTGTTTGCCTCTCATTCTGCCAGCAAAGTGGTTTCACACCAGTACAGTAATGGTTTTTTTTTCAATTAATTATTGTACTTTGGACTGGGAAAAAAGTTCCTAATGGGAAATAGTTAGTCCCCTCACTGGGGAAAATGTCAGGTTCAGGTCTGATCTAGTGATTAAACTGACCAAAAAATTAGTCCACTGATAATCTGTGGTGCTTGAGGGGCTTCCTCTTTGCTATTCACCAAAAGTTCCATCCAGAACTTAATTCTTTTAAAAGCTACTGCAGAGGCTTTCACAACTCTGAAAGTCATTTAACAAAGGGCACTAAACACTTTTATTTAAATTGCCAGATGATTTACAACCATCATTGTCAGTGTATTGCTTTCCATCCCAAACAGGTTATGAGCTTCATGGTGTGGAAAACCTACCAGAAGGACCGGGCATTCTTGTGTATTACCATGGAGCTATTCCTATAGACTACCTTTACTTTTTGTCTAGGCTGTTTCTCTGGAAAAAAAGACTTTGCCTGTCAGTAGCTGATCATTTTGTCTTTCGTTTACCAGGTAAGAACGTGTTCTCCTGTACTTAAGCATCCTGGATTCACTCAACCTTTTTGGTGAAATTCACATTTATTACACTTTCAAGAGAGCTTTTAAACTAAAAGACTGCTTTTAGACTTTTAAACTAATAGCTTGTAGATGCAGAAGGGCAAACAGGGTAGAATATCCCATCTTTTAAGAGAAAGGTCATAAAAACACTGGTAGACTGTCCAAAGCCAACAAATAGACATTATATAATCCTGTTGGGATGAAATGTCATGCCTCAGTAGAAAGTAGAGGATAGGACTATATTATTGACCTAATGCTGGCTGGTCAGCAATGGGCTGTGAGTGCAGAAGAGCCCAGTAAATGGTAAGATATCAATTACCTACTTGCGCTCTACACTGAGTAGCCATTGCAGTGGGGTATGACATCACATCTATCTTTTCATCAAAGCCTGGAGTAGGACGCAAAACTTGTTTGAAGATTTTACTGCTGAAGAGAGCTCTGTAATACTGACCACCACAACACATTCAACACGTTGTAGACTGAGAAATAAATAATTCCATTGTGAAACAGAGAAGATGATACAGAAAAGCAAACCTCATTCATTTTTAGAAAAACAAGGCATAAAGAAGGAGCATCCAGAAGGAATAGCAGGGAAATTATTTAAAGGCACCTTTATACCACTTACATTAAAAATTACTATAATAGTAAAGAGTAAAGGAAGCCATTTAAAAGTAGAAAGACATTCTTCAGAAAAGGAAGTTGTGTTCAAACATTGAAAACAAAGAGCATAAACTCAAACAAGTTTGATGGAAAAACATATTAAGGCATCCCTAGAAAGGTGGTGAGGAAGTATTTGCTGAAAGCATACTTAGTAAACACTGTGCAGTACTAAACACATCAGAAGCATGAAGTCATCAAGAGATGATTGGCTTTTAAGAGAACTCCTAAAGCTTAGCAGAATGTTGCAAAGGAGGCTTCTTTTTTAAGGGATAAATGAGAGGGTACTGTTTCAAATTGGAGTGTCCGTAGCATAGGTTTTTATTACAAATGTTTAGTAAACTATTGTCAGGACCAAGCAACGCTCTCAACTGTAGAATTTCTGGACTACTGATGTGTACATAACATATTGCTTGAATTATGTTCATGCCAGAGGAACAGAAGGTGGCAAATATGGTGTCAACCTATAAAATGGCTACCAAAAAGGCATCTGGTAAGAAAGACCACAAATAATGGAGATTAGGCTTCCTCATTTGCAGCATTAGTAGAAAACGTGGCTAAAAGTAATAGACTGAGTGCAACTTCTCCCTAACCTTCTCTCGCTTTACCATACTTACCTGCTTTTTGCAGAAAAATGTTGCACTTCACAGATTGGTTCTTTAAAGAATGCTTTTGAGCATATGCTGTCTGTTGGATTAATTACAGTTAGGGGAGAAGTCATCTTGTGAATGAATACTGATTAAAAGGTAGGAGATAAAGGGTAGAAATAAATAGATCATTTTCACAAAGAAGCAGAATTCAGCAGGTATACCGATGAAGATCAGTGCTCGCACCTGTATTGTTCAAAATGATCATAATCTAGATCAGTAGTGAGGTGACAAAGCTTTATATTGGCCTTTTTTTTTTTCAAGGCAGTAAAAGCCCACACAGAGAGTACGGTTATCTACCAATACTGAGTCACTGGCTGATTAAATGGCAGATGAAACCTGGTTATTAGTTATAAAGCAGTGCAGAAGGAAAGAAAAACAAGTCTAAACACATGAACGTGTAATTAGGCTTTAAATTTTCTAGATGACTTTAGGAATATGTCAGCTTAAGTCTCAGCAATTGCTAAAAGGCAAACAATTTCAGGCTTATGAAAAAAGAAGAAAAGAGGAAAGACCATTATGTACTCAAAATGCATATGGTGCCCACATCTTGAGCACTGCATAGAATTCTGGTCTCCCCAGCTCAGAAAAGCTGCAAAGTAATAAAGATACAAGAAAGGACAAGGATGATCAGGACAAGCCTGGCATGGCTTCCTTTGAAGAACCAGTACATACGACAGGAGTCTTGCATGACTGAGGGATATAAAATTCTGCGTGACCTGGAAAAGAGGAATAAGGAGTGGTAACATGTTCCTGTGATACATCATAACTCTTAACAGGCAAAAGTTTTAAAGCCAAGCAAAGGATTGAGCAGGATATGGCATTCATGGCTGCAGGATAAAACAGGAATACATGAGAGTTCCCAAAGGGATTAAACAAAGTCAACATCTGTCTTTGACAGAAAGATCTATTGAACACAATGCTTTGAGTTAACACACAGTTCAATTACAAGATGTGGCATTGTGTTTTCCACTGCCTTCCAAAGTTTCTGTTGCAGACCTTTGTCAAAGTTGAAGTGCTAGACGCCAGTTCTGCCGGTCCGCAGTTGTTGTTTACATTTATTAATATAAACAATTTCTTTTCAAACCATGCTGTTAGGACAGTGAATTTGAAGACTGGGGAAACTCATTTGCTGAGTGAACTCCCTATGGGAGTTCCAAATGGATTTAAAATGTGAAGATAATGTAAGAAAGCATAGAGTGCTTCTGTGGTTCTCAATATGTCTTTTGGAGAAATCCCAGTTAGGAAAACAAACGAAGGAGATCCATTGAGCTGTTAATGCAGTGCTGAAACTGCCCTGCTAACTTCTGCCATTCGTGCATCTTAATAGTCGTACACCAGTCCAATTTGATCCACATAGTTTGCAATTTAACCACAAAATACTCAATTTAACAACTCAAAGCCTCCATGTTTAAAATGTTAAACATCACATTTTAAAATAATACCAAAAATAGTTACTTGTCAGGTTATTTATTTTTGTAGTATTCTTTATTGTACTGAAAATTTATAATTTTTTTCTGTACTAAAATATTTTAAAAGGAGGAGGGAGGAACAGATGTTTATTTTCAGATTTCTATGATGCACACGTTTTGGTTGCATGGCTGGTGTTTTGATAATTATGAACATAGCATGTGGAGGCATTAATTTACTGAGATGCTCCTGATAAGCTGATTCATCTTCATAACATGTGGGCAAAATCACTGTCACGTATTTGTCATTTTGCCAATATTTACTCTGTACGGGTTTTACTTCCTTTGTACAAGTTTGCCTTAGTGTAAGTATATAGCTATTAGATTTGCATTTAGCTGTAATCTTGTTCCCTCATGCAAGCAGTATTTGTGGTAAACTGTTTAATAATATGTATTTGCTACTTATTTATTGCAGGACTTAAATTATTATTGGAAGTGACGGGCGTTATGCCAGGTACAAGGGAAGAATGTCTCATTGCACTGAAGAATGGACACTTGGTGTCCATCTCGCCAGGTGGAGTTAGAGAAGCACTATTCAGTGATGAAAGTTATCAACTCATGTGGGGAAATCGAAAAGGGTTTGCTCAGGTTGCTCTAGATGCAAAAGTGGTGAGTGTTACATGTTACTGATCCCAGTTTACGCTTATTGCGTACATGCTTCATTATAAAATGCAGCTGAGGAGTGTTTGCTGGAAAATCTTCCAGACAGAATAAAAGCTTTGGGAGTAAAGGTTTCTCTTCCTTTTCCCACCACTTTCCTCAAGCACATTAATCCATAGGGAGCAAGGGTTTTATGGAACTGTATAGCTTTTTTCTTGACTGTTGGCAGGACATCCATCTTTACAGTTCCATTATGCAGGCATCCACTTTCTTGTCTTGATTGTATTTCAGGAATCTTCACTGTGGTCCTTCTTCATATTGCTCTAAGGTTTCATTCTTTTTTCTCATCCTACTAGACTTATATCTTTATCTTATTTCTATATGACCACTCATTTTCTTAGGGCTTTTTAATGTATTATCCTTATCTTTCTTTCTTCTCATATATTCTGGGAGGGTCCAGGATTTTGTTCTTACCCTTTACTTCATGTTTGTGAAAGATTGCATCGACTAATATAAGGTGTGTCTACATCAGTGTCTGAGTTTGAATCATGTGTGCACTTCTGAAGTTTTCCCATCTCCCTCACCCACCATGCTTTCATTCACATCATGGAACGTGTTAGAATACCCGAGCTGTGTTCCTTTTGGCTGAAACTAAACCAGAAGTGGGACCTAATACTCTCCAGTTGAAAATAAGCGTTCAGCCAATGGTATCAGACAAAAATTGTTCTGCTTAAAAACAGAGCACTGAAATGTGTTCAGTGTTGATGTCAGATCTTCAGCATCCTCTAGAGATGAGCTGCTGTTGGTTTGCACTCCACTAATGTACACGACCACAGTGTCAGTTATATTTTCCATGTGGATGATGATCTACAAATACAGACTTCTACCGCCGGCTCTGACTTCCTCCATCTAATTTCACATGGGAGACTATTTCTCTGGTACAGTCTCTGGGAAATAATTTTAGTTGGGATGTCACAGAGCTGAAAGAGCAACAACCCTGTCTTTTTCCTACCTGCCACTTCTCCTCATCATCACCACTAGAGACGAGTTTTCTGTCTTAATTCAGACTTAGCATATGTAGTGGTCTTTGTGTCTGACAGTACTGGTACACATCCAGGCTTCATCTGTTCTGCCATGGGCTTGCTGCTGCTTTCTCATGAATTGCACAACTGTCATTTTTCTTTACGTTCTTATGAATATCTCATCAATTGCAGTGCTCTTTGGCCTTCCACATAAATGTAATCCTTTTCTGTATATATAGGAGAATCTGTACAGGGAGTTGAGTTCTTCCCATTAAATTTAATTTCTTACCACTCCTTTTAGGGTTTTTGTGCACCCCATCAAATACATTGCTTCTCAAACTTGGCTTTGGTCTCTTGTACTAAAGCTCCTACTACAAAGTACCTAGGGTTGCAAAATACATGCTTTGGGTTAATATTTCATCTTAACTGTCTCTGAAATCTTGTGGGGAGATAACTAAACACTGGAATAAATTTAGAGGCGTTTACCCAAAGTAATTTTAGGCTGGGAGTCCTATTTCTACCTCTTTGTTTGTCTTGTCATGTGGCCTTTTAAGAGTCATGTTTTATGTGCTTCTGTTCCGTCCCCTGTCCTTTTTCTCAAAAGCGTGGGCTGGTAAACGTTAGTCACACTACTTCATATGTTGTGTGGGCCTGTACACCACCACTACTAGGAAAATACCGGAATGTGAATAGGATAAATCCAGTCAAATTCAGGTGGGCATTCTGAATTCCCTTATAGTCTTTCCTCTTATGTGTTAATTTAATAATATCCTCAAACAGTCAGAAAAAGGTGTCACTTTAACAACGTGATTTCTCATCATTTTGCTTTCATATCTGTCTTTCAAGCTACTTCAAACATTTGAATAATCTTTTGCCATATGTTTTCACTTCACTTGGAACCTTATAGTGTAATTCTACAATGTAATAAGCTTTTTTTTAATAAAAATTGAATTAAAAAACCCCTTAATAAAGGGTGCCACCATATTCAAAACACATCACAAAAATCCTTGTTAGTAATCCTCTTAATCCTTCCAGTCTTCTATAATTTAGAAGCACATGGAAATAGCTGAATAGTACTAGATGATGGAACTAGGTGATCTTTAAGGTCCCTTCCAACCCAAACCATTCTATGATTCTATACCTAAAATCACTAGCACCTATTGACAGGGGTTGTGGGGTTTTTTATTTAATGAATTGGGTATTCATTGAAGGTAAGGTTCTTCCAGTGTGAAAGGTTCTTGTGGTCATTTGTATAACAAGTTTGGTAAAACAGACACTACATAAGATTATCTGTTACCTGGAAAGCAGAGGGAATATTTTCTCCTTTGACACGTACTAGCCTGAGCTCACCTTTCCAGTGCTGCTGGCTCTATCACTTATTATTGCACTCATTCAGTTTTTGTTGGGGTTTTTGGGGTTTTTTTTATGATCAGGAAGTCTGGTTGGATCCCAGTGTGGCGGGCATCACTGTAATTAGCTTGCAGGCTCCACTGAATTTTGAGCATCTTTGATATTTCTCTGGAAATCTGTCATCAGACACACTTTAGTACACTTTAAAAAAAAGAAGTGTTGTGCATTTGCCAGTGGAGGGGGCAGTATTAACCTTATATACCATTTCTCATACAAAGTTAGGCTCATAGTAGTAGTTACTATGTTAAAGGATTCCATCTTTTGACAACTTTGGAGTTTGATTGTTTCTATTTGTTCTTGCTGCATCTTTTTCAATACTGGCCATATCAGTCTTGTAGGTTGACTGAAGACTGGGGATAAACTCATCTAAACTATCAGAACTTGCTCTATAAGGTAGCAATTCATGTATGTTTTGCTAATACTTATCCAAACCCTGGATTAAGGCAAGAGAGTACTATAAATGCCTTTTTTGAATTTATTCTACATACAGTGTAGCCATCAACTAAAGAACCACACACACTTTACAGTATTCAAAATGACTACATGTGGTTCATAACCTGATGCAGATGACTGGAATGGGGATTTCAAGATGAAACCAACTTTATACATAAATAGACTTTCCCATTCTTCTTATAATGTTATGGAAGTTCAACAGTTCTTCCACTGAAAAAGTTGAAGAAAAGCAACCAAGGAACGTTGTTTCAGCCTCAGTCCTTGCCTGCATGTTTCCACATTCAGTCTCTACTTTGTCTTCTGTAGCTACTCTGCTTACCTGTGGTCAGAGGAGAGCATTATTATTTAATGTTATGACTCAATGAACTTCTGGGGCATACATTTGCCTCAGTTGAATTTATGTGTGCCAGGGGCCTGAGCTTCAGAAATACCGTCTGCCTGTGGCTGGAGTTTTACAGGGTAATGGGGAGGAGTCATCATTTCTGAAGATCCTTGCATTTTATCTGTGCCAAAAAATTTGTTCAAGGTCTATAAAAATCTTACGTATGTGCACGGGGTTGGCCTAGATGATGTCCAGAGGTCCCTTCCAACCACGACTATCGTGTGATTCTGTGATTTTCAAGCTGGCTGGCTGTGATCCAAGTCAGTTCCAGCAAAGCAAATGTAAATCTGTGGGTTACTGCAGATCTGGCCATGCTGCTTCACAGAGGCAAGCTTTTATGTGTGCACGCATTTTTATCAGCTTAGGGACCAAACATTACTACCTGCTCTGTACTTCATTGGTTGATCATTGTATATGAGTAACTTCTGTAGTTGCTAGATTTCTTTATAGCCTAACATATGTTTCTCTTGCACTGTTCCTAAAATATGAAGTGTTTTGTCTGTATGATAGGTGGATTTCAAACATTTTAAATGTTAGACATACAGTATTCAATCAATAGCTGAAGCTAAGTGTGGTATTTTTAGTGTCTAGTAGTTGTATGCTTTTAAAAGATGTTACTGATTGTTTTTAAGAGTTTATTTATAATAATTTCCCATAATTTCTCATTCTGAAGGGTTTACTATTCGTATTGGGTTTGCATGGCAAGGTTTTGGTAGCAGGGGGGCTACAGGGGTGGCTTCTGTGAGAAGCTGCTAGAAGCTTCCCCTGTGTCTGACAGA